GTGCTCTTAACCACTGAGCCATGTCTCCAGCCCTCCGATTCTTGGTTTTGAAATTGTTATTATTTTTGTTCCCGTGTCTGCGTGTACGCGAACCCAGAGGCCTGAGCAGACAGCTGTCTTCCTCTCTTGCTGTCCCACTAGCTCCTTCGAAGCAAGGCTTCTCACTGAGCCTGGGTTTCTTTCTGTTTCTTCCACCAGCTCAGCCAGCAGCCAGGAAGTCCTAGCAATCCCCCTGGCTCTGTTCCCTCTAGTGCTTGGATTACAAGTATGTGCAGCCATGTGTGGCTTTTCCAGGGAGGCCCCGGAGATCCCAAAATCAGGTGCTTACGCTGGCACAGCAAGGGCTCCTACCCACTGAGCATCTCCCGAACCCCATAAGCCAGTTCTTAAAGTCTCTACAAAGAGGAGCTAACCATGTTTCCTTGCAAGCCTGTGCAGTTACACTGGTTCCTTCTAATCCCGTGTCTGCATGTGTACACAAATGTATGCGTGTGCACAGTATGGGGCTGTCTATGTGGGAGCTCTAATATGCATATCTGGGTTCCTAAATGTCACACCCTGATAGAAGTAATGAAGGGTCCTTGGAGACATGGCTGATTCCTAGCCTGGGCCTTAAAAGATAAATCTGGGAAGGCAAGGAAGTGCTCAGACAAGGACCAACATTAGCAAAGAGCAAAAGCCAGTTTGAAAGTCCTGCAGTCCAAGAGCCTGCATCAATTTAGGGGGGCCTGGATTAACCCTGCCCACCTGAGTGATCCAAAATGATCTCTGCACATTGTAGATATCTGGCTCCTGTCTTCAGTTCCACCTGCAATGTAACTTCCCTCACCGTGGAACCTAACAGGCTCACAGGTTCCAGAGATGAGGGCAGGAACACGATTGGGGCTATCATTGTAAATCACAGACCTGGAGCTTGCAGGCCTGAGATGATCTATTGAGATACGGCTGTGACGTGAATTCTCCCAGCTGCACAACGCCGAGGTTCTGACCGTGGTCGCTTCTCCTTGGCCAGGTGCTAATCATTCCTATTCCTATTTCACATCTATAGCCCATGGCCCCTGCTTCTTCAGAACATCCTTGTGCCACCACACCCAAGTCTCTGTCATCTCTACCTGGCTTCCCCTCGCTGTCAGTCTGCATGTACGAGCAATCACTGATGGATGTGGCGTAGGCAGTGAGTGCTTTTCCTCAGGGCACTACTGTGTCTTCCCTGGATCATAATAAATGCAACTTTCATTTAAATACAAACTGCTCAGCTGGGGCAGAAAGCCAATTAGTCCAAAGAACAGGCTGTTCTGATTTTAACAACCTGTCCCTTCTCCTTTCCCAACTCCTGATTCATTCCTCAGTTTAGAAGAGGAGGCCAGATGTCTCCAAGCAGCCCAGAAAGGGCACAGGAATAAGATGATGGAAAAAGGCCCATCCTCCCTGTGAGGTTTACCTGGGAGTCTCTCGACACCTGAGTCTATAGGGATGTAGGTCCTGCGCTAAAGGGCCTAAGCTTATAGCCCATCTGAGCTGGGGACAACTCTCCATCCTGGGCTTGGACAGAGGAGATGGAGCACTGGTGCATAATTCAAACCTTAGTTTTGCACCATATTTGCAGACATCTTGTGCTACGATGATTGGTTTTAACCATCAACTTGACACAATCTAGAACCACCAGGGAGCAGAGTCTTAACTGGGGCATGGACCAGAATAGGTTGGCCTGTCATGGAGAATTTCTGGATTGTTAATTGACGTGATAAGACTCATCCCACTGTGGGAGGAACCATTCTGTAGGCAGGGGACCCTGAATTGTCTAAGAACAGGAAACTGAGTCAAGCACAAGTAAGCAAGTGAGCAAGAGAGCATGCGTGCGTTCTTTTCTCTCTGCTCTGACTGTGAACGTGATGTGAGCAGGCTGTAAAGTCCCTGCCTTGACTTTTTACAGTGATCACTGTGTCCTGGAACTGTGAGACAAATAAGCCCCTTCCTCCCCTAAGTTGCTTTCCGTCAGGTTATTTTATCATAGCAACAACATAGAACTAACTTTCCCATTTTCGGCTCTCTAGGTAGAGACTGTCTTCAAGTGTGCATGGACCACAGACCCTGCTGGGGCAAAGGATCTCACAGGGAAGGAGGCAAAGCCTCTGTCTCCAGAGAGCAGGGAAAGACAAGGTCACTGCCCTCACTTAGTAAGAGGAGCCTCTGCAGGTCAGGGAGGGCTCGAGGGGGGAGATAGCCTGAACCCAGGCTCAGGAGGGAAAGTGGGTCCCACCCCCTGAACCTGTGCTCTGCACCCCATGCTGTCTAGCCTCCCTCCAGAAGGGAGGCTCTGGAGCTCACACCAGGGGCTTATCATCCCACGGGACATGCCTGGCCTTCAGCGGGAGCCCAGTTGAGCCTGTGCCTCTGAAGACATCATCAAGCATGCTCTTTGCGTATGATACTGGCTCCCCCTTTGCCCTGGATATCTTCCCGAGGGAAACTTCCCGTCCCACTGCTCTTCCTGTCCGTGGGTCCCCCAGGACTCCCTCTCTTTTCTCTCGGGCACTGGAAGAAAGGGCATCGAGACTGCACATCTACTGCGTACTGTGCTTGGTGATGGAGAAAACCCTGTTCTGTGGAATGGCCTCAGCCAGCTACAGACTCTTCTCAGACACCAGGCAGCCTGTCACAGCTGGGTCACAGTTCATCCATCACGAATCCCTTCCTTGTGCTATGAGAGGAAAGTCTAGGCAGACCTCTGGGTTTCACTAGCTTGTAGCTGACGAGATTACATGGTTTGGAGGCCACAGAACTGGGTTCCCGTGAGCTCAGCTGCAGACAGCAATTCTGCCGTGTGGTGGTAACTGCTGCCCAGATAGCTTCCCAGGGAACTGAGGGGTTTCTGCTGACAACACTGACTTCCCATGACCTGTAGATGTCAAGGGTCTAGATCTGGGAAGGAGACTTGGTGTCTCTGCCTTCATATTGCATGTCTCCTTTGCCGCCTCAAGCGCTAGGTAAAACTCCACTTAGCTCCGTATGCGGACGATATATGGATCATTTGAACAGTGTTTTGCTCAGGTGGTACAGTGTGAACTTGACCCAGATTTTCCTTTTGAGGCTAAAGACAAGAAACTAGGAAAGAAGGAAGAGGAGGAGGAAGAGGAAGGAGGAGGAAGAGAAGGAGGAGGAAGAGAAGGAGGAGGAAGAGGAAGGAGGAGGAAGAGGAAGGAGGAGGAAGAGGAAGGAGGAGGAAGAGAAGGAGGAGGAAGAGAAGGAGGAGGAAGAGAAGGAGGAGGAAGAGAAGGAGGAGGAAGAGAAGGAGGAGGAAGAGAAGGAGGAGGAAGAGGAAGGAGGAGGAAGAGAAGGAGGAGGAAGAGAAGGAGGAGGAAGAGGAAGGAGGAGGAAGAGGAAGGAGGAGGAAGAGAAGGAGGAGGAAGAGGAAGGAGGAGGAAGGGAAGGAGGAGGAAGAGAAGGAGGAGGAAGAGAAGGAGGAGGAAGAGAAGGAGGAGGAAGAGAAGGAGGAGGAAGAGAAGGAGGAGGAAGAGAAGGAGGAGGAAGAGAAGGAGGAGGAAGAGAAGGAGGAGGAAGAGAAGGAGGAGGAAGAGAAGGAGGAGGAAGAGAAGGAGGAGGAAGAGAAGGAGGAGGAAGAGAAGGAGGAGGAAGAGAAGGAGGAGGAAGAGAAGGAGGAGGAAGAGAAGGAGGAGGAAGAGAAGGAGGAGGAAGAGAAGGAGGAGGAAGAGAAGGAGGAGGAAGAGAAGGAGGAGGAAGAGAAGGAGGAGGAAGAGAAGGAGGAGGAAGAGAAGGAGGAGGAAGAGAAGGAGGAGACTGCTGCAGTGGTGGTGGTGGCGGCAGCAGTAGCAATAGTAATATCTGAGTTTCTAGAAGAGTGTTGCCAATTCCCAGAAAAGACAGTCTCCCTCTCTCTGTCTCTCTCTCTCTCTCTCTCTCTCTCTCTCTCTCTCTCTCTCTCTCTCTCTCGTTGGCATTCCTGCCCTGACTCCCTGCACTGCAGAAGCTGACCTCTTTTTTCTGTTCTATGGCCAGGAGTCAAAGGCTATCTTCATCTCTAATGCTCATCTCTTGAACACTTACTGAGGGTATAGCTTCTAGACCTGGGTTCTGTAATACTCTAATCCCCCAGATGGAGCAGGCAGCACACACACACACACACACACGCACACACACACATGCACACACACGCGCGCACACACACACACATGCACACACACACATGCACACACACGCGCACACACACACACACACACACGCACACGCACGCACACACACGCGCACACACACACGCACACACACCTACACTCACCTACTTACCCACTAGCGCCCCAGGATACTCCAGACCCTACACAATGAAACAAAGCCAAGAAAATGCACCATGGACACATCAAGCTTTGATCCTTGCTCTTGCTGGTGGAAAGGCCTTGCCTGGGAGAACCTCCAAGCCTACTGCAGGGTGACTGGGGCCTGAGAGATGGTGAGCAAACACTGTGGTCAGAATTAGGGCCTTTGAGACGGAAATCTGAGTTTGACAGGGGAGAGGTTCAGTGGATGCCCCCCTTGGTGGGGCTATGGGCCACCCCTGCAGTGACAGCCTACCCTTGCAGTTCTGAACCCTGACCAGAGTGGGCTGGGCAGGGAGATGGGGAGGACAGCCCTGGCTTGACAACAGGATGGAAGGAGCCAGCAGGGAGGTTCCCAGGATGCCTGGCTTCTGTTCACAAGACAGTCACTATGGGTTCTGCCACTGAATGGGGCGCAACTGCCTCCACTTGGTTGTTTTGGGCATCTAATGTGAACCCTCCATCTCGTGCTCCCCTGGTACCCATGGCTACCTGGACAGCCATTGAGGAACCAGCTCCTCCCACACTCATGCTCATGTCCACCTCATGGTACTCCGTTTGCCCTCAACCCTGTATTCTTAGACTCTGGTTTTTCCCCAGGTCATGGCATGATGCCCCAATATGAAGGAGAGGGCATGCCTCCCAGGCCCCTCCCCTCCCAACAGGACTCACCCTATGGTCTTCCCCCAGTCACACCACAGAGTCTTCCCGATGGCTTCCATGTCCTCCTTGAAGTGGGAGAAGCACAGCTCTTGGATGAGAGTACCATAGTCAGGGTCCCCGCAGGCAGTGACCATGAAGACATGGTGAGCTGCAAAAGACCATCCGGGGGGTTACCTACTGCATCTCCTTCCTGGTAGGCAGCCTCTCCCATTGCTTCCCCACCCATCACCAGCCCAGCCCAGGGGCCACGAGCATCAGAGATGTGGGTCTGTGTGATCAGGAGACAACATCCATACTTGTTATGTTGTGATAAAATATCCCGACAAAAGCAACTCAGGGAGGAAGGAAGTTAGCACATCGCATCCATGGGCAAGAGCTCTGCTCAGCTTCCCCACGTTTACATAGTTCAGGACCCTCTGCCTAGGGAATGGTGGATGAGTCATCCTGCATCAATTAACTTTATTAAGACAGCTACACACAGACATGCCTGTGGTCAACCCAATGTAGAAGGTAATTTCTGTGTTGTGTCAGATTGATAAGTTAAACTAATACCATTGTGCCCAAGGCTCCTAATGGACTCTTTCTTTAGTCACTGTGTGTGTTTGTGAAGGCCCCACCCGCTGACAATGGGACCCACCAGGCCCTTGGATGCACTTGCTGCTGCTGCTGCTGGCCTCCATTTTCTCCAAGCTTACCCTGGGCATTGGCGCCAGACATTGGCCTCATGCTGTTTCGTCCCCCAGTGTGTTTCTCCTAACACCTGTCTAGCTATGGAAACCTAGGCAGCAGGCATAGATTGCTGGACTGAACTCAGGCCTGCCTCCAAGTGGAAGGGCTGCCTCAGTCAGGCAGTGCCCCAAACATGAAGGGAGGAGCCATTGCTGCCCCAGGGGCGGGGGGGGGGGCTTCAGAAGAGGGTCCTGGCCCACTTTGTTAATTTGGCACCTGGAGCTGCGACACACTCCCCAGTCCCTGGGCATACTCTTTGTGCCTGGGTGTTTGGCAACCATAAACCAAGCTGCCAAACTGCAATGTGAACTGTGCCTTTCCTCTTTAGTCTGATGAAAATACAAGATCAAAAATGATCCCCCAAGCTCCATGTTGCACAAACTCAAAGGTGACCTATTTCAATACCAGTTGTGGTAGACGAGAGCTAGAGGAGAAGGCATCTTCCCTTGGCTGCTCCCCTCACCTCTGCAAGGTCTCTTTGGATGGACAGTCCATTCTCAGCCTCTTTGAAGGAAGCTGGGAGTGCAGTCATCAAATCCTTTGCTCAGAGTCTGGCTGCTAGCCTGCTAGTCTTCCCTCTCCCAGCTCATGCTTGGGCATCTTCTCCCAATAGGGTCCAACTCCATTCACCAGTCTGGCCATTTCCTATCCCTGGCAGGGGCTCAGAGGGATCCAGGACTGCATAGGGCTCTGTGGGATCCTTGTTGGTCCCCACCACAGAAATGTGGGATGGGAGAAAGCCTTATCTCATTAGCTTCCAATCTCAGGAGGACATCAAGGTTTTCCTCACTGCTCTGCCCCCCCCCCGCCACCCAGAGCCCAGGGATGCTCAGAAGGCAGCAAGACCCCATCTCCACTCCTCAGCAAGTCTCCATGCCCACGTGAACTCATGCAGAAGCTCGGTGTGCGTATTCCCAGGCCATATGGGCACAGTGAGTCCACCTGGGGACTTCGAGTCAGCTGTGCACACTTGGGGACTATGACAGTATCAAGGGAGACTGGAGAAGGGGTAACCTGTCACCCCTGTCCCTCAGGATCTCCCGTGGAAGCCTTCCTGTGGTAGACAGGGAGCAGCAGGTACATAGCGAGCTCCTGAGACTGGATGCGATCCGTAGTCTCTTATGAGTGTCAAGAGTCCTCTCTCCATCTGTCCCCTATACTTTATGGCTCCTGGCACCCGGACTTGGCCTGGGCCTCATCTGACCTCTCCTCCCATGAACTCTATGCTCCAAGCTGTCCTCCTTCAGCTGCCCAAAGCCTGAAGAAGCCACCCCACCCTCCACAGCCACAACCACATCCTGGGTGCTTATGGTGAGGGGGCAAAGACTCCTTTCTCTGAAGTACTTTTGCCATGTCTCACCTCCCGCTCATTTCTGACTCACACACAGGTTGTCCTCCCCGGCACTCAGCGGGTGGCACATTCATTTTCATCAAACGCCTGAGATACCCACACTTGGCTGTCAAGGAACACTGCCACGGATGGAAACCAGGGCCATGAGGGCATCCCTGGCAGCAGAGGGGCAAGAGCGCCTGTGGTCTTCCTTCCTGTTCTGGAACAGTCCATTTTAGGCCAGAGAAGCGGATGCCTCAGGAAAGGTTCTGGGTGACATCTGTTAGAACCCAACGTGCACTGATGTCAGCACAGAGGAGATCTGCTTCAGAGACCTGGTGTTTCCAAGGCTCCTGCGAAGGGGCCGGAGAATCAGGAGATACACACAGAGCCAGTTCCCTGGAGAGCCTGCGCTGTCTCCTGTGGGAAAAAGGCGCTAAGAGGGTGGGGACCGGAAGGACCAACTGTGTCCCCTTCACACTCCCCGCTCTATCGCCTTCAAGACCAACATCTCCTGGCTTTTTTAGTGTCACCCTGGTCTGGCTGCAGAGCTGAGCCTACCTGGCCTGGCCCTTGCACCTTCCATTTTCCTCAAGTCACCCCTCCACCTCCTAAAGGGGGCCCTGCAATGCCCAGGACCATCACCCTCTGCTATAGGCATCCTTTGCCGCCTTGGAGAGTGCAGAGCCCACACCCACACTGTGGCCATGGGCGGTTTTGCAGGCAGATCTGGGGAGCATTCATTTTGTAGTCAGAAACAGGGCCTAATCTTTCTTCAAGGATAGGTAACAGTAAATGAGAAAATGCCCCAAGCTTTAAACTCACCTTTTGGAGCCAAAGGACCCATTCTGCATGCTGGCAAATGCTATCTTCTGAAACCCAGACTGAGGCAATATGGCTCCCTCAGCTGCCTGTCAGGACAGGCGCTCCCTTAGGCTGTGCATAACTTAAGAATTCCATACCAAAGCTTGGCTCCTTCTCTCTACTACCGGAAAATGCCCCCAAGTGAGCATAAATAGCATCATACACGGATGGAAGCTACCACAGGTCTGGGACATCAGGAGGAGCGGTGCTGGCCATCATCTTGGAGTACGCTTGCCTCAGAAGCCCTGTGGACTCAGGGCCTCTCAGACAGCAGCAACTCCCAGGGCTAGGATCATCTCTGTCCTCAGAGGTTCTGAGAGTAGGAGCGTCCCAGGAGATGATGGCCGCTGCCATATCACAGTGATGCCCAGCAGTGACCAGGCACCGGGAACAACATTTTCACTCCACTACCCTCAGTGATGATGAGAACGAGGTCGCAGATAACAATCTTCTGCACCGTCTCTGCCCCTAACCAGGTCTTCAGGGCATCTTCCATTTGTGTGGGTGGCTCTGCCAACCCTAAGACTCATCCTACACAGTTCCAGGAGAACAAAGGGTTCTCATCGTTTGACATGTTGGCAATCCAACTTTTTAAAGAGGTCTGTCTGGCATCTTTTCTCAGCAGCCTGAGGGACTGTGTCCAAATTAGACCACCCTCGAGGCCACAAAGCAAGTCTTAACAAATATAACAGAACTGAGACTTCTACTATATTATTAGATAATACTGGAATAAAACCAGAAATAAATAGCAAGATAAACCACAGAATCTACACAACTCCTTAGACTGAACAATACACTTTTGCATACCTGTTGGGCAGACCCACTGGATGCTCACACCTCTAGTGCCAGCACCTGGGAGGCAAAGGCAGGTGGGTTTCTGTGAGACCCAAGCCAACAAGGGCTACATAGTGAGGCCCTATCTCAAAATAAAATAAAACTATAGTTCAATTTCCTTGATAGACATAAAAATGCTCAATAAAATACCTGCATATAGCTGACTTTAATCCCAGTACTTAGGAGGCAGAGGTAGGTGGATCTCTATGAATTCAAGGCCAGGATGGTCTACAAAGCAAGTACTAGGACAGTCAGGGCTGTTACACAGAGAAACTCTGCCTTGAAAAACCAAATCAAACAAACAAAAACCAAAATCCTGCATATAGAATTCAAGAACACACTAAGATTATATTCCATGATCAAGTTAACCCAGGGATAAAAGGTTGGTTCGGCATATGCAAACCAATAAATTGACACAACATAGAAACACACTTAAGGACAGAAATCACCCAATCAGCTCAGTAGATGCAGAAACAACCTTTGAGGAAGTTCAGCATGGCTTCATAAAGAAACTAGGAACAGAAGGAATCGATCTTAACATGATAAAGGCTGTGTACAGCAAAATATAGACAGGGAAGTTGAAGGCATCTCCTCCAATATCAGAATGAGGCAAATATGCCCACTCTTTTTTATTTTGTGTCTATGTGTGTATACACATGCCATGTGAAGATGCATGCAGGCAAAGCATATGCACACCCACACACGCACATACAAGCATGTGCCAATGCATGCATGCATGCATGCATTTGTGCAAAGGTTGTGTATGGAGGTCAGAGGAGAACTTTTAGGGTAATTTCTTTCGAGACACTTTGTGGGATCCGGAGATCAAACACTGTACACAAATGCCTATGAGCAGCGTTCATCTAACTGTTTTTGTTCAATATGAAACTTGATGTCATAGCTAGATCGATAAAAGAGATAAAGATGTAGATAGAAAAGCCTAAGCATCCTTACCTGTGGCAGCCTGACATGATCCTATACTTAAAAGACCATAAGGATTCCCCCAGAAAACTCTTAGATCTTACCTATACTTGTAGCAAAGCACTGGGAAGCAAAATCAACATTAAAAAAAAAAAAGTAGCCTCCCAGTACAACAATAATCAACTTGTGAAAGAAGTCAGGAAAAAAATTCCTATCCTGTGTCAAAAAAACTGAAGGAAGGAATGAAGGGAGGGAGAAAAGGAGGGAGGGGGGAAGAAAAAAGAAACAAAGAAAGAAAGGAAAAGACAGGATGTCCCCTAGAAGTAGTAATGAGAAATAGAAAATATCATAATAAACTCCAAGCACAGAGAATGCTGATGGTGCCTCAGGTCCCACATGGTCCTGCATAGGGACCTCAGAATCCTCACAATTATCCCAGGGATGTGAGCCTGTGATACCTTCATTCTGAT